TCTTGTATCTCCCCAGACATCCATGGCTCTGCAATGCCACTTTTGAGGATCTCGGATAGGACAGAGGCAGCCAGCCTGACCCTTGGGTGTAACATGTACTGGGCAAACCTCTAAAGCTCTGTAATCCCTGGGAGGCAGCACATCCACAGTGCACACCGAGATCTCCTCCTTCCCACCAGCCCAGGTTCCTGCTTCCCAACTGCTTGCACTAGGGCTTTTCCACATGGAAAAATGCTCTGGTGGTGGCCAAAGCTAGAATTACTCTGGCTTTTTCAGCTACTCTACAACACCAGCCCTTCTCCTGCCTTCCACACTGCTGTGAAAATGTGTAGAAGCTTTAAATTGAGTGAATCCTTGCTCTCTTCCCTCCTGACCTCAACCATCTCCCTTGTAAACAGCCTCTGTAAGGAAAACAAATCACAACGGATGGACGGAAGAAAAATCTTCTAGGGATGAGACGATAAGACTCCTGAAAGCTTGGGACACCATAACAATTTACTGAAGATGCTGAATCAAGATCAAAAACAATGCACAGGAAAACTACCAGCAGTTCTGAAACACGGCTGTGAACGCCATTGCTCCCAGATGTCCCCGGGGTCACCCACTGGCCACTTGGGAAAGGATGTGATGCTACAGTAACACTTTCCTGAAGGTGAAAGCACTAATTACAAGCACAACTGGGAGGACAACTTCCATCTCTCTTTCTTTCTTTCTTTTTCCTAGCAGGAAGCAATTTTCCTTTCCCTTTAGCTGGCTGGTTCACCCGTCACCACTCCCAGCCACCGAACAGCCAGTGGACTTGCAACCTAATGAAAATTGGGGTTTCTTTCCACATTTCGAAGAAGGTCACAGCAGCTACCGAGGGCAAACAGTAGGATTTAATGGTTCTGAAAGGTTTGAAGTGGGTGAGTGGCAGAATCCATGCCCTGGAGCTACCCACTGGTCAAAGAGAAAAGAGATTTCTAACAGGTTTCACAGAGGATCATGGTGAGTTTAAACCAAAACCAAACTCCAACCAAACCTTGAAAGAGAACACATTGCCAATCTACCAGACGGGTAAAGTGGGAGAGAGCAGAGGCTGAAGGCCCCAAACCACTGTCACCAGGAGCAGAGAGCAATTTTTAAATTACCTCTTGGAGCAGATGAAATGCCCCCTGATCCACCAAAGAGCATGCAGATTCCAAGCTGGATCTGGCTGGCACTTCAGCCTCTGTTACACAAGACCCTGTACAGGAAACACCCAGAAGAACCTGCTGGTGGAGGAGGACTGGTGGGGAATGACCAGAGGAGAAAGGAGACAGCCCCTGTCCTCACAGGAATCCTCACTCCAGTAAACACACAGCTTGGCAAGGAAACTGGAGGAAAGAGACTCACAACAGGAACAGAAATGAGAGAGAATCCTTAACCTGAATTAGTATCTTCATAGCTAATAGAAAAATAGGTCATGATCTCACCCTTAGTGCCACTTTCCAATACTACACATACTTAGGGGGTTTTGTTTTAAAACTTACTTTACTCAGTGTAATGAAAACAATGGCACAAATAAATACACTCTCGCTCTCCTTACACCTCAGATGCTCACACGCACCGCCGGATCCTCGCCCCCGCAGACACCCTCGGGTGCAGACCCAGGACAGGAGGCTGCTGCTCCCCTTCCCAGGCTGTATTTGGTTTATGCTACAGTACTAATACTCTGAGTCAAACAAAAACAAAACATGAGACTTATCGGTAACACCTTATCGTTATTTCAATGTGCTAAATTAGTCACAGCTCGATTTCAGGTTTTTTTTCATTTTTCTTTTTTTTTTTTTATAAGTTTACACAAAAATAATCAGAAAACAGATTAAATCTTAAGATATTTTTAATAAGTGCTCAGTTAAGAATTGTGTGAGGACTTGGGGAGGACTGCAGACAGCACAGGGCGAGTTACACGACAGCATGAGGACGTTCCTTCCACGGTCCTGCCTGGCTCTAGGCAATAGTCTATCCCAGAAATCCTGGGGAGCCGGAGCTACAGGAGCTGAGAGAGAGGAATTCCTAACTGCTTAGCGCTGAGCACACACCATGGAGCTCACAGAGACAGAAAGACAGATGTTTGAGCAGAGGATGGTCAGAAATACAGCAGAGAAGGTGCTGCCAAGGGTGTTTCTGGATGGGTCCCGCTGGCGAGGGGCCACGCACAGCAAGGCAAAGCCACAGGGATGAGCATCAGGGATAAACCAACCCAACCCATCGCTTGAACCATGTTTCTCTCAGCATTTCTTTTGCTAATTGAATGAAAGACTGGACTAGGTCAAGATGAGAGTCCTCCAATATTCAGCAAGACTCAGACCTTTCTAAAGGCGCAGGGTCCCCAGCACCAGTTAGTGCTGCTCAGCTCCTGCATCCCCCCGGCCCCCAGTGCAGATCTGGGATAGGGGTACAGGACAGCACAGACCCCAGGGAAGCAAAACAGGGTGTTTTTGTAATTTTTTTCTTTTTTTCTTTTTTTTTTTTTTAATGGAACCTAGCCCTTAAGGCGACAAGTGACTACACAAGGCAAATAAATACACAGCAGAGCCTTAAAGCCAGTAAAACAAACTGGAAACTTTGCTACCAGCCTTCAACTTTTTGAAAATAATAATAAAAAGGAAAAAGAACATTTCTTCCACCTTAATATTCCCAGTACCCACCATCCAGTTTGTTCAACACTTTAAAGCTCAGGAATGCCCCAGCTCTTCGGCGGCGGAGCTGGAGGCATTTCCGACTTTTGGCAAGCAGTTGGGAAACTCAACAGAATTAAAATAGGGATGTCGGAGGACTAGATGTCGGGCACATCTGTAAACATGTTATACATCTCAAAGTTACACACACCTGTAAAGGTGGTACAGTTTATAGGTGAAACAGAACTATTTGCGACTGGCCAACCACACGTTTCTGAACCTGGACTGATACAATACATGATGACTATATAGTATCACACTCAGTATTATACTATATAGTGGTTGATACATCAAATGGAGTAGGCAATCCATAGTCATACGTTTAAAACTAAGCGTGGCAGAAAGCTAAGCGTCTTACACAAGGTACAGAACTCAGTTTCATCGTCCCACCATGAACCCAAGTGTCTCATTCAGGAACAATCTTATTAAAAGTATAAAAACAATTAAAAAAACACATGCTACATACTCCTAATTAACAAAACAAAACAAAAAAGCAGATCATAGAATCGTCGAATATGCTGAGTTGGAAGGGACCCATCAGGACCAGTGATTCCAACTCCTGGCCCTGCACAGGACAGTCCAACAATCCCACCATGTGCCCAAGAGCGTTGTCCAGATGTTTCCTGAACTCAGACAGGTTTGGTGCTGTGATCACTTCCCTGGGAGCCTGTTCCAGTGCTCAACCACCCTCTGGGTGAAAAACCTTTTCCTGATATCAGTCCTAAACCTCCCCTGACTCAGCTTCAGGCCCTCTCCTCGGGTCCTGTCACTGGTAACAAGAGTGAAGAGATCAGTACTTGCCCTTCTGCCTCTCATGAGGAGAGTGAAGACCACAGTGAGCTTTTCCCTGTGTCCTCCAGGCTGAACAAACCAAGTGACCGCAGCTGCTCCTCATATGGCTTCCCCTCCAGACCCTTCCCCATCCTCATGGCCTCCTTTGAATGCTCTCTAACAACTTAATATCTTTTTTATATTGTGGTGCCCAAAACTGTCCACAGGACTCAAGGTGAGGCTGCCCCAGGTCAGAGCAGAGCGGGACAATCCCCTCCCTCACCGGGCCAGCAATGCTGGGCCTGATGCCCCCCAGGACACGGTTGGCCCTCCTGGCTGCCAGGGCACTGCTGACTCATGGCCAATTGGCCATGGACCAGGACCCCCAGGTCCCTTTCCACAGTGCTGCTTTCCAGCATCTCATTCCCCAGTCTAGACACACAGCCAGGGTTGCCCCGTCCCAGGTGCAGAATTCAGCACTTGCCCTTGCTAAACTTCATATAGTTGGTGACTGCCCATCTCCCTGATTTATCCAGGTCTCTCTGCAGGGCCTCTGTGCCCTTGAGAGGCGACAGATCCTCCCACTTCAGTGTGGTCAGCAAACTCACTTAGTATCCCTTCAAGTCCTGTGTCCAGGTCGTTAATGAAGACTTTGGAGAGAGCTGGGCCAAGGATGGAGCCCTGCAGAACCCCACTAGTGACCGGACACCAGCCTGATGGATAAATCTAAGCACAAGGGGTATGCAAAAGTTTTGGGTTTATCTGCTTCCTGTACTGCCCCACAGGATCCAGACTAGTTTTAGGACAACACCAACTGTTGCTGACCTTGATAACCAGGAGCCAGGATTCGGCCACAGACACCCACAATGAGCACTGGGCATGTGTGGAACTGGGGCTGGTCAGCAAACCCATTTCTGCTTTATTCACTTCTCACTCTTGCACTGGACCCTGTGACCTTTCCATCTTTTAAAAAAAAAACCAGAAAAACTACCCGACCCCCAGATGATTTGGACACTCGACACAAGCTGCAATGGGACAGAGTGGGTTACACAGCTGGAGCCTGCACTCTGCTCAGCCTTCCCTACCACTGCTAGGAAGCCTTCCTTTCCCTGGGATTTTTTTTTTAATTATTTTTTAAATTATTATTTTCATTCCTAAGTCCTCCATTTTTTTGTAATAAAATATATTTTTATTAAGAGATAATTAGAAGCAGAGCCCGGAAATACACAGACTGCATTAAAATATAAAAGAGCATTTCCAAGGGGCAGGAAGCCCAGCCGTTGGCGTTCTATGGACAAATTGAAAAGGATTCAAATTCCCATTTTTCTTTTTTTTTTTCTTTTTTTTTTTTTTTAACTTTTTTCTTTTTTTTGTTATTTTGAAATTTTTTTTTAAGAGAAAAAATAATTCAAGAAGGATGAAAGTTAGCAGAACTCAATTCCTCTTCAGTTTTCCATTGAAAATGGGAAAAAAATCCAGCACATTTAGTGTTAGGAGACAGACAGAGCAAATATGAAGCACCTACAGTTGAAAGCAGAAGATACTTTTTTTTTTGTCTTTTTTTTTTTTTCTTGCTCCCAGTAATACAATGGCATTAAACTGTGGGAACAGTAGGGGTTTTTGTTGTTTTTGGGTTTTTTTCCATATTAAATGCCTAAACAGATTGCTTATTTTTCCACGTTGTCTTTTAAAATGAAATAACTCTTCAGTTGCAATAGTCCAAAGTGTAACAGGAGCCAGGTCAACTGTGTGACTTCACCATGCATCCTAGAACTGCAGTATTACCATCTTTCCCTCAGCAGAACGAGTCGTTTTAGACAATATCCCCCGCATAGGATTGCTGCTTTACTCCTGGCAAAACATGCGGATTATAATTCTCTGGAAAAAAAAAGAAACTCTGCAAACTTCAAGGCGTTTCTCCAGCATTCAATGGAAAACAAACCAGAAAAAAAAATGAAACTAAATGGGGGAGGCGAAAGGGAAAGGGGAGATGAAGGATGGTGAATCATCCTGATTTCCCTGTGATTAGTGTGTCACTACAGTCACAGAACAAGAAACAGAAACCTTGTCAAGTGGAAATGCCTCTCCAGTGGGTTGCTGTTGCCCATGTAGACGACAGCAGGAACTTTGAAACCGGGCTTGTAATTGAGTCTGTATTCCTTAATCACTTGCATTCACTCTTTAAACAAAAACAAAACAAAACAAAAATGAAAAAAAAAATCTATTCAGTACCGGAGATTAAATAATCACGTGTGTAGTCTCGTTGAAATAAATTTTCAGATTCCTTAAGAAGTCTAATTACTTTCAGTTGCCACTTTTAAATAACTATATATATATTTGTATATATTATCCTGTGATTCTAGTTATGGTTCCTCTGCTGCACTGAAGATTTAGAAGGAGCATAAAAGCCTTTTTGTCCCCCACGAACAGCACAAATGCTGCAGAAAGGTTATAACAGGCAGTCTTGTCTTGCTACCTTCATTGATCCGGGCGATCCATGGCTTCATCATAAGTGATTATCCTTTTGGGATCTGGAAAGAAAGCAGAATTCTAAGTTTTTGACAAGCTGAAGATAAACACAAGAGATCTGCATGGTACTTGTACCTTAACAGATTTTTCCTTTGGACCCCCCTCCTGCCAACGCACCCCAAGCCTGGGCTGGTTTCCTCAGAGCAGCACACGAGTCTCCATATGCAGCTCTTCCCACACAGAACCTCTTCTCAGGTGATTTGTGGGGATACACCAGAATAAAAGTTATTACTGGATGCGACACCCAGCACCAGAAATAGAAAGCAATTTTGTATACACATAGGGAAGAGTCATTAAATCTAATTCTGGTTTTATTGCTCTTGTAGAGACTCTGCTTCACTCTGAACACCCCACCATTATGGTACAGCTTACTGTCCTGAATTTTAGTGATATGAAACACAGATAAATCCAGACTACAAACTGCAGGCACTGAAGAACTGAACTCAGGCATCTCCAGACATGCAGACAATCCACTCTCACTCATCCCCCATCCCAACAAACAGAGCAGGACAGTGCAATTTGGTTTATTTATTCTTTCCAGCACCCTTACCTTGCTTCTGCAAATTCCAAACCGCTTCCATTTCTGTGAAGGCAAAAGGAGAAGACCACTGTTATTATGCAGATTGATGTTACCATTAGAGACAACTTTAAACACAGTTTAATTTCCCAAGTGTGGCACAACAGAGCTGCGGCTGTGCCAAGGCTTTCAGACAGAGCCCACCCCATGCAGTCCAGCAGCACAGCTCCAGCCCATCCCGAATTTGACACGAATAATCCAGCAACAAAAGGCAAAGGGGTGGCTGTAACATGGTCTTAAGGGTCAGAGGGCCAAGATGAGCATCAGAAATGTCACCACCATTCCCCAGTCCTACAAATCACAGTCTGACTTCAGGCTTTACTAATCTGACTCCAACGCTGCTTCGCGTGTTACAGCCTCAACAAGGAGCCTGAAGAGATGATTTTTACGAGTTGATGTTTAGTGTGTGTGAAACCAGAACCCCAGGACACGGCAAGTTTCACATGGCTCACACTGTGCATGTGCTGAAGCACACCAGGCAGGGACTGCTGTGCCAACATCACTGCAAAGCTGCTGCCAACACACCACCCGAGAGCAAGGTGTGATGCTCTCAGACACCCAGCTGCCTGCTTGGCTTGAGGTTCTTTCCCCAGTTTACCCCTACAACATGTTTGCAGGCTGAATACAAATCCTCCCCAGTTCTCCCTGAAAAAGCACGTGCTTTTGTTTACCTCAGAAATAAAAAAGTTAAATGCTCTTTTCATCCACACTGAGAAACAGAAGGCTCTTCCCTTTAAAACGTCCCACAAATCAAGTCACACCTTTAGAGATCCATTCAAAATAACCTCATTTAGCCACTACGGAGATGGAATTTTGTGAGCTAGAATATTTATGAAGGCACTAACTGTGCCCTGCGCCCAAGTTTAAGAGACAAAATTTTTAAAAAAGGAGCATTTAGTAGGAACACGACCTGCAAGAACCACCTTTCAAGTCTCCCTTCTGCCACAAAGGAGGGTGACAGGACCTTGGTGGGGGTTGGAACAGAGAATATCAAGGGATTATCAGGCTACACGGGATGTGCAGTAAAGCACAAAACAAGGCAATAAGTGAACTATCCGGCATGGGAAAGGAAGAAGAAAAAGCCCTACAAAACTCATGGCCTCAGCACGATGTGTGCCAAGTGTCACCTCCATCAATCGCGTCCCTTTTCCAACCCTTCATCTGTCCTTTGTCCTCTACAATCTCCAGCTCCCCAGGGCAGGAAATTGCATGCAAATAAATATTGCCAGCCCTCCCTGCACAATTAAGCCTTTTGTAAGGAAAGCCCCGGCAAAATTTTACGAGGTCTGTTATTTTTGCGTCACGACAACAACGGCAACATTTTGCACTTTCATGGGGGGGGGGAACCTTAAGTGCTTTGGGAATAGTAGCCAGCCTCTAACACCCCCAGGGATATAAGCAGCCTGGTGAGGGACAGCCTCCCTCATCCGCCAGATGCAGATTCCCCCGAAGTAAAATGAACCAGCTACTAAAATTACCTCTCGCAGAGCGAGTTTTCCATTCAGCACAGTTAGATGCATCATTTCCTAACAGCTAAAGAGCATCTCCTACTTTAACAGCTTTCCCCAAAGGCTGGGGACAGAAAACTACTCTCGAGTTGTTGGTTGCTCCACATTAGAGCAATGTTTGAGCATCAAATACAAGGCAGAGCTGAAGCATTGCCCCACTACTGTATCCCATGTATAGAACACGTCTTCTTGTGCTCTTCATTTGGTTGTAACTTCCCTGGACACCACAAGAACTGCTTGTATTAAGACATGTCTGACAACAAGACAGATGGTGAGATACTATTATGGACACACCAAAAACCTTTTAAGTTGTCAAAATTCTGTTTAGATTAAAAAAACTAACAAACCAACAACTAAACTCTCCAACCTTTTCAGACTCCAATTTTCCTTCTCCTTCTTCAGAAAGAGAGGGTGTTGTAAAGTGTCCTGTAAATCCCAGACACCTGGACACACTGACTGGCAGATGCTCAAGCTCATAAAGCTACAAAACCAAAGACCATGGGGAAACAATGCAGTAACAGCTCTTACTAAATATCATCTGTCATCAGCAGAGCAAGGTGCTCCCATTCACCTGTCCAGCAGCACAGGGACACAGGATAGTACAGGCTGAGCACACTGACCAACTGAAACAACTTCACAGAGGAAAAAAAAAATAAGACTTAGGTTAACTGCAATGCCAAACTAGGGGAAAAATGGGTTTTCTTCCATCTTAAAATGAAATTTAATCATTCATTCTGCTTTACATGGTAATACACTAGCATGTGTTTTCCTCCCAGTTCCAGGCTGCGGTCACCTACAACTGACACAAGGTGCTGTGACAAGTGCCATGGCCACTGTCACAGAGGTTGGACTGACCTGGTGGACAGGCAGCTCAGCAGAGCCACCACTGCCCAATGCCTGGGTCCAGCCAAGCAGAGCAGTGAGCTCAGGGATGCAGGGTGGAATAAAAGACAGTACCTATGAGCTGGGCATGCAAGAGGCCCTAAGCCTGCTTTCAGTCCTTCCTTGGGCTCAAAGAGCTCTTTTCTTGAGCCTGTCTTCCCTGGATAAAGCTTTCAGAGCAGGTTTAAGCAAAGGACTCTTACAGTTGCTCACCCTGATGGGAAAAGGCACCATCAGCCCAAGCCCACCTCTCTCCAATACTGACCCCAAACCCATTGCTGCCCTTTCCAAAGACCTGACCAACAGACAAGAGCCACCATTCCCAAAACAGGACAGGCGGCCAGGGAAATGGCACACTTCCCTCTCAGTGGACTCCAACCCAGCTGGATAAAATGCCACCAATAAACCCTTGCACAACCCAGCATCAAAGCCAGCCCTGCTCCAAGCCAGGGGCAGAACTAGGTCACCTCCTGCACCCCTTCCAACCTCCAGTTTTCCAGGATTTTTTACAATTAGCTGGCCTCTCCACAGCCCTCTGGCTCAGGTTTCCTGAGGAACTGCCCGGGGCAGACAGCCCCAGTCACATCCACCTAAACCACTTTTTCTGGGGACTATCACTGAAACAAAGGGGGGGTGGAGGAAGGCTTTGATGTCAGGAACAGACTAAGGCACACTCCAGTGAATTGTGCTGGGATTCCTCATAGGTCAATAAACTTTATAGCAGGACTGGTACATAATCTTGGAGGGGAAAGAAGTGTTTCTGTGATAACTTGTTAAGACAGGCACTTTTACACACTTTTTCCTCGCTAGAGAGGCAGTCCCTGCAAACAGAAGTGTCTGCACAATGCCACGGAACTAGTTCTTTGTTCTTATAAATCTCACTATTGTCCCTAAAATAAAACACTAAAAACATAACAAAAAGGGACCATTCTTATCTGATTTTTCTGCTTCTACCTGCAGGACATAATGCTTAAGTTCAGGGGATTGCCCAAGAAATGAAGCAAAGACTAAACATTCCATGCTGTGGAGACTCGTGGCTGTACTGAATACACAGTACTCATCCTGACAACTGGAAAGAGCAGAGACTCAAAGGAGAATTAAATCAGCTTTTGCCCCACAGCTCAGGCCCTACAAGGCCATAAGCAACAGAGTGAGACCTAACCCCTTCCCACCAATGGGGATGGGAAAAAAAGGCTCTTTCCCCCCCCCAACTCCCCTCCTGATGTAAAGGATGAAAATTGCTGAATTCACAGCTCTGCTATTTCTTCTGACCCAGTTCACCATTCCAGTGAACGCCACTCCTGGCTGGCCCACGCTGCCTTGCTCTATTTTCCATGCTGCTCTTCTGCTTCTTCACGCGAGCAGAGATGCTGAGAAGGAACAAAGCAGCAGCACAGGCAGAAACTCGGGGGCAAGTCAGAAGAGGGAAACGCTGCAGCTTCCTCTCCTCCACCCATGTGGTCTTTGCTGCTGTGCAGCTGAGCTGGAGGCCTCAATTATTTGCTTTTTAGCTCAGGACAAGCAAATTATTGAGCTTCCCACCACAAAGCTTGCCATCTAGAGCCCAGTGTCAGTGACAGCCTGGCCTGGAAGACTGCAACTGCCCAAACGTGACAGAATTCTGCACAGCATTGACAATTATTCCGATACGAAGCCTTTCTTCCAGCTGTCTCTAAAAGAAGGAATAAAGCAGTAAGAAGATGCTGGTTTCAACAGAAGTAAAGATGAGATACAACCAGCCTCCTCTTCTGAAATTCCAAAAAAATCTGCAAAGACCAGTTTTACCTCAAAAAGATAAGGATTTTGGCAATGCCACACCAAGGCAGAAGCTCAACTCTAACCTAGATAGGGACAATGACCACAAGCCACAGCATCACTTCTTCCTGGTCCTTCTAGTCTGCCATACTAAGCTACTGTCCCTGTCTCCAAGCACATCCACAGCAGACCCACAAGTGCTCAGCTAAATCAGATCTCCCTTGGCAAATCAGATTTGTCACCTGCGAGTGTTTCAAGGCACCGTCACAAACCCCGAGCGGCACGGGCTGTCAGTGAAGGCAGCCACATTGAGGGATCGTGTTTTACACTCAAGCAGATCAGATGATCAAGGGAGTCTTTCTGCCCTTTAAACAGAGGAAAAAAAAGAAAAGAAAGAAGCAGGGGCACAAGGAAACCAACAGGAAAAGCTTCCAAGAGAACAAGAAGAGGGTGCACCATCAGCCTGGCCTGAACATTCCCAGTGCTTTGACTTCTGGGGAGAAAGCAATCCAGACACATGCAAAGGAGCACAGGAATCCTCCACTAAGACCTCACTGTGCTCTGCAACCACCAAGTCTCACACCCCAGTGGAGCCTCGCCAGCGCCCAGGGTGCTGTGGTGGGGTAAATGGGATCCCTGCACCAGAGCCAGTCCTCCCTGTGTGCTACCTCCTCCATCCATCTTTCCACAAAGAAGCTGTGAAGCAATTACAATCCATAATGTCCCATGCAGTCACTGGGCAAATCACACATAGGAAAGCCTGGTTTGCTGGAACAAAGCTACTGAGTAAGCTGGAGGCTTTCCCATAGCCTATTTACAGTCCAGGATGAGGATCCACACAACATGGTCACAGCTACAGGCACAAACAGTGCAGAAAAGGGTGCACATTTGTGACAGACAGGTCAAAGCCCTGCTACCACTCACATTACAGCCTATCCCTCACTGCAGCACCCAGAGCTTCATCCTTGCGCTGAACTACTGCACTTGGAGGAGCTCAGGGCAGGAAGACACCGGGACCCCACCAGTGCTCCACACTCACTCCTGTCCTTGCCCCATGATCGTTTTTCTTTGTGTTCATAACCCCAGGGGAGGGCAGATGTGAAGATCAAACTACTGAGACTTTGCTCAAAAGCAAACAGATCAATCCAAGAGGGAGAAGTTCACCCTCCTCTCGAAATCAAAACCAAACAACACGAGGACCCAACTGCCCAGGATGCCCTAACACTGACCCAGGCAAACCCACACACTCTCCCAAGCAGGGAGGAGGGGAAGGCAGCTTGCAAAAAGCAACTGAGTGAAATCGTTCCTTTCCTACTGCAGGGGAACTGGTCGGTTTGGAGTAGGACCTCAGGAAAACAGCCCAAGATAAACGGAGAAACCGTGTGGGAATTAACCACTGCACTGCTGCCCTGCAAACACACCCTGGCAGCTCCGGGTTGGAGGCATTTCCCAGCACACTGTGGGCTCCAGCTGTAGGATCATGGCCATGAAGAGGACATAGGAGGCACCGTTCCTCCAAATACTCCTTAACCCAACTCACCCCAATAATGAATGAAATGCAACACCCAACATCATCAGAAGTACTAAGAACTGGACTGATCTCCTGCTTTGTGAACCAGCAATTGCGTTTGGGGACTAAATAGGAGAAAGACAAGCCTAAGCTCTTTGGAGCACCCCATCACTGCATTAAAGACAACACTGAGTAGAAACATTCATTGTCTTTTACTCCTAAAGAAATCAGCAGAGAGGAGTGGTGGGGCAGGAACCCCAGGTTGTTTGTTCTGGATGCTCAAAGCAAGATGCTTCAGAGCAACAGCTCTAGAAGGAGAGCTTCGCACCAGAAGAAGAGCAGAGAACAGTATTTCACGGGTGCTTCAGGTGGTCATTCTTGCCATTAAATGTAATTAACTCCTGTGTTTAGAAGAGCTAAACACAGCCAGGCTTTGAAGTTAACACCTCCTTGAGAGGACATGGGAAGGGAGTGTTCTTTATTTTCCTGTTGTTGCTATTGTTTTACTGGGATCTGTCTTCCACAGCAAGTGAGAAAGGGAGAGCTGATCAGCCTTGCTGGCTGAACAGTTGCTTTTCTACAAGTTCAGGCTGACAAAAACAAAGGGACAAACCGAAGGGAAGGGAGTATTTGCAAACTTAAGATCACCTAGGATTTCTCTCCATGCTATGCTTCCTGGTACTCCCGTTTTCTGATAGGAAATTGGGATTTAGGCAGCAGGTAGACATAAGAATGAAAACAGAAAGCCTGCTTTAATGCTGGCATAGACTGAGCTGAAAGGAGAGGACCCAGATAAAATCAATTGATGAATGCTGTTCTCAAGAATACTAGAGCTTGAAATGTTAACATCATAAGAGGGAGATGACCTGAAAAAAATATTTGGAGTATTTATTTTTAAATGATTGGGCTTGTTATTACTAAAGGCAGGCATCTGAGTTTGCAAACTGGTAATTTAAGAACTTTGCAGTGGGTGAAAACACAGCAAATTTGCCAAAGCCAGCCAAATACCAGCTCTCTGCAGAGAGGAGGAAGACATTATCCACATTTGTATGTGGAACAGTAAACAAAAAACAGATTATCACCTTGTTCCCTTCAGAGGATGCAGGGAGAGGGAAGGGGGTCGAATAAAAAAGGAATTGCCCCTGTGTTGGTCAGGGGTGGGTAAGTAATGCCATCCCAAAAGGGAACACACAACCAGGCTCCTGTTAACACTGAGCCAGCACCAGAAGCCAAGAACTGCCACAAGACCTCAGAGCTTCTGGGGCTGAGGCTAAAGCAGAAAGCAAGCCATCCCACAGGCTTCCCTCTCCTCGTTCCCATTTTCAAGTGTCTGTATCATGTTTGAGTCATTTCAGTCTCAAAAAAAACAGGGAAAAAAAAGGAGCTGGACTACAAAGGACTCCATGAAAGCAATAAAATCACCTGAAAGATGTAGCTTACAAAGACAAGGAGAGAATTCAATCTGCAGCTTACAGAGGAACTGATAAGAAAAGATTGGTCTTGCTGTTGCTGTAATATTCAAGAAGGGCAGGGGAAAAGTGTGTGTGGGTCACACTTAGAAAAAAAAAATCACACCTAGGGCTGTAGGAATAATTTTTTCTTCCTTCAAAGCCATGATTTCATGGTCTGATCTGCCCAGGGGAGAAGCTGCAACACCTTGGTGGTAGAGGTGTGAGCACAGACTATGAAGCTTTTTCAATGACAGAATATCACCTGGTAAAGCTGGAACAGAGCGGGTGAACCTACACATTTAACTCCTTCCATTGCCGAGAGGCTTAGGAGGGCCTGCTAAGCATCATCCCTATCAACATCACTCATGCTTGTCCACGGGAACAGGGAAACAAATACCCCTTAACATTAATTAAACAACGGTTTGCGTAGCTTCCCAAACCATTACAGCCACGAGAGATATGCAAGCAAAAAAGAAAAGCTCATTTTTAAAACAATCAGAATTGCTGGAAGGAATATATCACGTTAGAATATTGCACTTATAAAAATAGAAGTAAAAACAAAAAAAGAAAAGAATGCCCTTAGGGAGCAAGTTAAGCCATTACCTTTAGTGTGATATAGAATAGCAGCCCTCAGGTCAAAAGAACCCCAGCTATCTTTCCTTTCTAGGCCTCTCTGGTACCTCTGTTCTTTGGCGGAGGATAGCAAATTGTTCGTAGGAGAGGCCAGAGGATTCTCTACTTCATAGTCTTTTGAAAGAAACACTAAAGCACCTTGGCTACCGGTGTCTGCCTTTTGTAGGTCACCTGTGTGATGTGACTCCAAAGCTAAGACACCACCCTCAACAGCAGTCCCAGGCTTAAGAATAGCACTAAGAATTTGAGGGCTAGTCCGTTTATCCAGCTCATAAGCCTTAGGAAACACAGGTTGTTCAGTTCCTGAGGGAGTGATTTCAGCACACTGTGAAACCAAAGTGGCAGGATATTCCCCTTGAAATGTCACTTCCATTAACTGATTATCGGCAGATTTCCCCACAACAGTTTCGGGTCCAGCACTGGGCTCGTTTATGAAAGACAAGCCCCACTGATTCTGGAAGATATCGCCCAGGTTCTGCTGATTCGTCTGCGAAGGGAAATCGACTTGCGCTGCACCCAGGAGCACAGTTTGCATATTTGAAGGGTAGATAAAAAGGCCAGATTTCTTTTGTTCTAGAGCTGTCGAAGTTGTACTCATGTCCTGGGCTACTGACTCGGAGGAGGTCGATGGTACAGTACTAGCAGCAGTTGAGAGCAGTGGCTGGGTCCCTGGGGAATACACACTTCCATCGGTCCCCGCGAGGATCGGCCCATTGGAGAAGCTGGCAGAGGTGACAGATTTCATAGCAGACATGGGGACCTGGGACAGCCGACTTGATGTTTGGGCCTGAGTTTCCCCGGCAGATGACGAAGATGACGAAGACGACGAAGTGGATGGGGTTTGAGCTGCTTTGTTGAGGTTTTCTTTAACTTTACTTGCATAACTAATTTTGGGAACAATTTTAGCACTGCTATTGTCCACTGGAAAAACTGGGGGTGGTTTAAATAAGGTCCATGAGTCCTCTTTAGACGCAGCCGACGATGCGTGCTTCCCTTTGGGCCGGTCATCAAACTTCTTGCTGCTAATCCCAGGTTTGGCATCAGAGTTTTTCCGGGGTACATCCCCGAGCCCAGGCTTTCCCCGGCCTGCTCCACCAGCCCCAGCCTCGTATTTCCAAACAGGCTTAGTATTTTCAATTCGGTTCCCCTTTTGTTCACTATAATCAGGCTTGAAACTCTCAAGTTCCTGTTTCAAGGTTGGTGCACTGACCTCCTGCTGCATTATTTTGTCCTGTACTAGATTCAAGTTCTCACAACCCTTGGCACTGTTGCGCCTGCCTTTCCGTTTTTTAGGCGTGGTATATCCACTCTCGGAGCCACTACCATCGTTATCGGCCCCTTTGCCTACGTAGCCATTGGTGATATAGCTGGAATTATTGGTTACCATGCCGTTTGGAATAGACACTCCCTCTGGCTTGTCCGAGGACTGGCCTTCTCTAAGTTTATTTTCATAGGACTTCTCATTCTTTTTGTCCATGCTATTTTTCTGAATGAAGTTCTTGGGTTTGATTCCAGCTTTCCCCAAAGCACTGGCCTTCACAGTCTGCTTTGGGGGGACATTAGAATCTATGAGCTGCTGGCTGCCATTGGGTACCCTGGATCCTGGGGCGGTGGCTTCATCAGAGCACAGGCCCTTCAGTGACACTTCTCTTTCTCCTGCGTTACCATTGAGCTCTCCGTAGCCTAGAAAAAAGCCAGAATGTGAAATGTTAAATTCTTTGTTGCACAAAGCTGTAATCAGCCCCAAACATATCGTTTCCTCAAGCAGACATTTTAAAATAGGAAAACGTCCAGTCTCTGAGGTACATCAGGATGAACTCGTTTGCTGGAACCCACGGCAAGAAGGGTTAAGCAGAAAGTACCAGCAGTGACTGACTCTCACATAACTGGGTGACATATAGACACTATAACAAAGCAAAAGAAAATACAGATACTATTTCAGGAAAATATACTGTACTAGAGATCTCTGGCAGGCTGGAGAGCTATTTCATCAGCTACTATTTCCAGGTCACAGAAAGGAAAAAAATTAATTCCCAGCATGCTTCGAGACAGAGGGATCCACTGACAAGATCTGTGGAGGTTCAGAATCCACATTGTGAACAAGGGACAAGTCCTGCCATCTCCATCAGCTCTCGGGCCTGCAACACCAGCAGCCCTCATTCCCACCCTTGTCCCAAGTGCCATCACAGTAAACGGGGGGGGGGAATGGGGGGAGGGAGAAAAATAAAAAAGCAGGTTTTCAAAAGGGACATGTGCAAGTCCACTTGAAAGGTGGAGGGAGAGTGTGACTGCATCTTCTCTCTGTGTTTCAAGATAGCAACCAACACCTCCCTACACGTGCTCTTCAGTACTGAAAAGGTGATAAAACTGGGAGGAAATGCATCCCTGCGAGAGCCTTTCTGCTGCTACCAGCAACTGGTCTCTTGTCCACTGAAAAACTGGTATTTCAGAGTCCCTGGGAGAGATGGTATGAGCTTGAGACCCAAGAAATAAAGTATTTGCTGAGGGCTCCAACTGATCATACCACGAGATTATACTGCACACTCAGCTTTCCTTTTTCCTTCTGAAGGTCAGTTTTAGGCCTCATGGTTGTGAAATGAATCTTGGAAGTGCAATTCAAGCGAAGCTGGAAGCTCAGGACAGTCCACACTGAGCCACCTCACCTTCCTCTTTGTTTTTTTCCTTTTTAAAAATCCCTGGCCAGAGGCCTGTTGCTTTCGAGGACCCTGGCTACAATGCCCCAAGAGAATCCCTGGAGCCCCACTGGGAGACAGGGAGAGCACACTGTGCCCAGCTCAACAAATCCAGTCCAGCTGTGGACTGAGCAGAGGGATCCCTCCTACTGCACCCGTTCCTCCTCTGACTCATCCGTCCTCCTTCCCGAGGCTGGAAAGCCTTACATCTCCTGCAACCACTGACCCACCTAAGGCTCCATCTGCAGCCACGGTGGCACGGAGTCAGCACAGCGAGGGAGTCCCTCAACAACAGGAGCAGGCAAGACTCCAGCTTGAAAAAGAATGTTTTTGTTGTTGCTGATGTTGTTGAAATTAACTGCTATAACTGAAAATCATTGTTACTCTCACATCCTGGAGCCTCAGATGTCTGGCAGATGTAACTGCTCAAGCTCTCTGCGAGCCTGGAACACAAGAATCCTTGTAGGAATCTTTACAGAAATTCCACAACTAAGTTTGCCAAGGGGGATCAAAAAGGATTTTACTACGTGCAAGTATCTGCAACCACCACAACTTCCACTATAACTTTCTAATATGCTGTTAAAAAAAGTTAACCATAAATACTTCATCCCAGAGAGAACTGGTAGGGTGGGATTCTCAGCTGAGCCAACAACTAAAAATTAAGCATTTCAGAATAACATGGAGAGGAAGCCTTCTCAAGAGCAGCGTGTTACAGCTGACCTTGTATGACTCAAGACTTCTGACACCACTTGTTAATGAAACAAAACAATAAGAGTGGTCATAAGACCATTGCAGATGAGGAGCAAAAGAATAAAATGAAGAACAAAATCCATTTCAGTAAGTCAGTGTGTCAGCAGTTTCTAGTTCCAATTCTCAAGTATTCACAGCTCAGCTGCCTGAGTTTTCTCCAAATCAACATTTGGCACAGCTGGCCCTTGCCTGGACACTGAGGTGCAGCAACCAAAATTTGGGGGAGAGGAAAAAAACCCCACAGGATAGTAAGACGAACAGGTGAAGAGAATTTAGCAACCTCACAAACCATTTCGGAGCCGGGAAGGGAGGGGTGCCAGCCTAAGCGCATATTAAAACCCTGGGCACGCTGCAAACAGTGAAATGACTACTCAACTTATTTTTGCTCAGTAACTTATTTTAGCGTGTGCCGGATCAGGTCCCTCCCTGTCTGCCCGGGCAGCACACAGGGCACTGCCGACCCCGCTCCGCTGCTGCCAGGCCCCCTCCCACCTCCCGCCTCGTTATGTAAAAGGAAATTTCAAGGGAAAAAAAAAAATAAATGCACGCGGCATTCCTGCCGGGCTGGTGACCACGCACTGGCTCTGACTCCACACAAGCCCCCCAAAATGGGGAGCCGGGGAGCCCCCCAGGAGCGCGGCGGGGGCTCCGGCCCTGAACGGGAGCGGCCCCCCCACCCCGGTGCCCGGCCACCGCCTCTGCGGCGCTGCCGCCCGGCCCGCGGGGCTCGGCCCGGCCCGGGCACCGCAGCCCCGGACTCGGCGAGGAGGAGGCGGCCGAGGG